AGCGTACAAGGTGACTGACTAATGCATTGATTCATAGCTTAGATATAAAGCGCTCCATGCCCGATAAAACTTCAAATGCGAGGCGTTGAAATTCTGCACCCTTGCCTGCGGTCAATCCATCAGCTAGTGGGGCCCCCTGTCAGTCAGTCAGTCACTCTGTGACTGTGTGTGTGTGTGTGTGTGTGTGTGTCGGTCAAGCCTGCTAAGAATTGCAATGCCACTGACCACACCAGACCAACCCCCGCCTCCGGGCACATGTCCACCCCACGGACAAGACCACGGACACGATAAGCGACCGCGCTGAGTGCTTTCCGCTCATGAATTTTTAAATGCGCGTGGAAATATCCTCTTGCGAATATTTCGTTTTTGTTATTGTTTTCCAAACTCCTGCATATTGCATGTTGGTGAGGTCAGGATAAATTTTCTAAAAGCCACCAAAGTTGTGGCCGACTATTGCATCAAGTTTTCAAGTATTTCGCCTGTGTTATTAGCTCAACCCCATTGTCCAATAGACAATTCCCATGGATAAAGTTCCATAGAACTCACCTACCCATAGGTCCAATTGAATAATAAAATAATAAAAGGCAGCCCTCAGTAGAGTCTGGGATTCGAGTCTTAGTCTATTAAAAATGCTTTCCTTTGCTTATGATAATAATAATATTTACTTTACTTATAATAATAATAAAATTAGTTTTGTACTTACTCAGCGTATCAATGCTTGAATCCCTTAGAGCATTTATTAGAGCAACTGCAAAGATATAATATACAAGAAACCATTATAAAAAGAGTCGAGTCCCATTCCCTGGGGCAAATGGAATCAGTGCAAAAAATCAAAACGCAGCCCTGCAATTTTCGACTCGGACATTGTCGCGACATTGCCAATTAAATTTGATGGCAATTTGCGCTAAAATGTTATAAAACAAAAGCCCAATGATGGAGACCTGACTGGCAGGGGAAAGGTACCTTCATTGGCAAAGCGAAAAAGAATGTTAAGCGGCTGCAGTGCAACATGTCATGGCTAAAACGCAAAGCAGGCCAAAACGACGGACACTGTGTGGGCGTAGCAGGACGGTACGCTTATTTCTGTTTCGTGAAACGGCAATTTGCATGTCTGTCTGAGCAATCGTTCTTTTTTTTCTATTTTTTTTATAACCTCCAACCCATCCACGAGACTGAGTAATTGCCACATGCACCATGCTGCTCGCAGCAGCAACAAGTGGAGGCAAGTATTGGCAAGCATTTGCATGCCACAATAGTGCAGCAGCGCCGAGCGACGATTGACTGAGTGAGTGAGTGAGTGAGTGAGTGAGTGGCCCCCGCGCTCTTTGCATTTGTTTGTAAACAAACGCTCCCGAATAGCCCCCAAATTGGCAGTCGCATTGGAAATTTGCGCTCCCGCCGCAAAGCCCAACGCATGCGCCCTTGCAGCTAGACTCAAACTGTTATACGGCCAGGCCATTTCCCCAGTTGTGAGTTGCACAGGTAAATTGGCCCACATCATGATCGGATCGAAAGGTCTATTCAGGAGTCCACTCCTGCCAGCGCCAGACCATTTTGGCTAATTACTAGACCATATTTTAATGGTGTTTTGTATTGGTCAACCGCTTAAGGAATTATCATTAGGGGCCACGGGACGTGCTTTTGATTGACAGTGAAAGCGGTCTAAGGAGCCATATGTGGAATATTTGATTTGATTTGAAGTGGCCGCAAGCGTCTCCTCAACAAATATTGAACAGGCGTAATTAACGGCCTCGCTGGCACATAATTAGGCCTGAGGTTCATTAGGAGGCCAACTGTATCTAGCATTTGTTTCGATTTCCATTGCCAGTTGAAAGTCATGCTGAGGACAACTCGTGTATTCGCTGCACGCATTTCGCATAAAAGAAATGAACAAAAACCCTTCAAATTATTTGCAATCAAATTGGGAGCCCAGCCCAGCCCGTAAAGGCCTAAACTGACCGCACCAAATCCACGGAGCTCCATTTCGGGTTTATTGGGTGCACAAATATTGAAAACAAATTTGCGCTAAACACTTCCAATTGCCAAAGATGATATTCGGTCATATAAAAATGGCAATAAATGCAAATGAAAAGCGATAAACACAGACAAAATCCACACACGCACAGCACATCGGACGCACCCGTCCACTCTGCCCTTCGCCGTGGCCCCTGAACTCTGCCCTCTCTGTGGCCTCTCTGTGGCCGCCCTGTCTTGCCTCACCGTTAAAAAGTCAATTTTCAACGCATCGGCGAGCGGAGCCAGATATGAAACGGGGTTGAAATCGAGGCAGTTATAGTCGACAATGGGTTAACCAAAAACACATTTTCAATAAATACCAATTATGTTGATACAATTTGAATTTGGGCATGCGAATTATTGGACGGAAAGCGGAGGCCAAATGGAGGCATGGCCATATGGTCAAGAGTCAGGTGGAGTGGACTTTCATGGCCCATTTTCTGGAATTATGGCGCACAATTTTGATGAGCTTCAACTTTACAAATCTAACCGGGTTTTTACTTCTCACACTAAAAGCAGAAATGGGCAATGTAAGACTTTACGATTTATTCCACACGTGTCTATATTCACCCGATCTATTTATATATATATGAATATATTATATGCTATATGCTATGTACTTGTGCTCGATAAACTTTTGTTGCATGACTTTGACATACGTGTACGATGAAAAATTCATGGCCAGACAGTGTCGAGGCCTCGCATTGTCTCTCTCCCCCCACCACCCGCACATAATTAGTTTGACGCTGCCAAAAAATGGAGCACATGGAGGCCATCTAAGCCCCCTTCTAACGCCCGTGACGCAGTCAAAACGATTAGCTTCGTATTGGTCAATACGTTTAGCTATAAAAAGGAACAAAAACATACAATGTTGTAAGCGTTAGATTTATCGGCAAGATTGCGGTCATTCAAATTTCTGAACAATGCGCTCGAAATTTGCGCGCTTATCAACGTAATGTCGATTGGGCGGTCCCGGGCATAAGATACGATGTGGAACAAACTGGTCACATGCCGTTCATTTCCATTTCGCATAATAAAGGTCATTGTGTTATTAGTGCCCCGTCCGCTCCACCACGTAATGGCCACACAATTTATATTATTAATGCTCCACATGTGCGCACACATCGAGGACACACACATCCCTGAAATACCCAGTGAAAAAAATGGAAGCGCTTTAACTTAAAAACAAAAAAAACTCAAGACATTGTGCTCGAATCATGCTTGATAATTTCTTAACCTGAAAACAAAATTTTTTTTTCGAGAACTTCTTCTAGTCCAGAAATCAAGACTTTGTTCTCAAACCATGTTTGAAATGTCTTAATATGAAAAAAGAAAATCTTATTTCGAGAACTTCTTCTAGTTCAGTAATTCGTAACGCATTGAAGGGCATTTGGCATTCGCGTAGAGATAAGGTATCTCTGAGACACGCAGCTGTCGATTGAGTCTGGTCCCTGGAAATTCTCAGCATTAAACTCTGATTATATATGAAAAGCCGTATCTAAATATAAAATGGTTATTTTTGAGACCTTCAGCTCGTCAAATGTCAACTGGATTTTCAGTTGCGTTGGCAATTAGCCTGAAGGATAGCGATGACGTATTGGGGCTCGATGTTCGGGTGGTAAAAATAAAAGGCAGTCTCTATTGGGGGTATGGAATGGACATCTAGTTAGCTACGAGGCTCCCACAAATTATGCGTTTTGGCGCAGTCCTTTCTTGGGGTGTACTTAACAAATTGCCTGGCCAGTGTTGCATAATGAATGAAGCGCAAACAGGCGCCAGGCTGATGGGAGAGACCGGCTGGTAAGGGAGACTGTGTACACACGAACTGCCGAGTCCTTGTTTTCGGTCGCCACTTTTTGCTAGTCCAAATCAAATAGTACCAGGGCCTGCTCCTCGACCAGGGCCTAATGCCAGCTAATGCCAAGAACAGTGGCTCTTTCAGGCCTTTGTCGGGTGACAGACAATTGACGGCATTTGCACGCATGGGCAGATTCAGATTTTGATCCGGATCTGCATCAGCCCACACACGGTACACGTTCGTGATATCACCTCTATATATATGCCTTTGCAGTTGACCAATGCTCGCCGCCCACTTTTGGGCACGCCCACCCACCAAAAGATAATTTAATAGCCGCACATATCGATCGTGTGAAGCTCGAAATGCTTTTCCGAATTGCGTGCCATGTCCGATGGTCAATTTTCCGAGTTGCCGCAAATGAACAAACGAAACCGCAAATGAAAAACCAAACTAACTATTTGAACTGGGCGGCAGGTGGGCAGGAGGCGGGGGCGTGTCCATGGCATGTGTGTACTACGCACATGAATTATTAATTGACAATTGCCGAAAATGTCCATTATCAGGTGGAAGAAGGCGGCCGAAGGAGGCGGGCAACCGCGATGGGGATGGGGATGGGAATGGGGACGGGGACGGGGAAAGGGAACGAGGTCACACTGCTGTGGTAGGAAAATTTCAATTTCAGTCTAATGAAAATTGTGGCAAATGCTTGTTTTCCGGGCCAACCTCTCCTCCCCTTTCCCCTTTTTTTTTGTGAGACAATCGTCAGAATGGGGTTAGTTGGTTTTTCCCCGAGCCCAAAAGTTTTTCCTCTATGCAGGTGTTTCTGTTTCGGCCAATTGCAAATTACAACTTCCGCTCGACAGCACTCTGTCCTGCCCCTGCCCCTGCCCCAGCCACTGGCCAACACACACACACACACACGCACGCAGAGTAGACACACATATGTAGCTCTAATGACATTCGGCAATGACAGCAAATTACGCACCACAATTTGTGGAACGCTCCATTGGCCAAACTCTGATGGCTAATCAGAGAGGGCATTAGCTGATATTGCAACTGAACCAGAACTAAAACGAATTTGCCAAATGATTTTTCCATCGCTAGCAAATAAATATACTTAGTAAGCTGTTGTATTTTTTTAACATTTCAATTGACGTGGTATTCGGAATCGAAACGTTCTTATAGCCTGGCATTACATAATACCAGCTGCAAGAACCAAACAGAAGCAGGTTATAGGCAGGCCAAAAAGAAAAAGGGGAGAAAGAGAACAACTTGCCGGCGGCTTCAACTGACGTGTTCACAAGTCGTTCAACTCGATCGAGAGAGAGCGAGAGAGAGAAAGAGAGAGCACTCTCAAGCAGTGGCTGCAGAGCGCCACGAGCCCAGGTGAGCACTCGAGAGTCATCAGAGTTAGAGTCGGAGCAGGCCGCGTGGCTATAGCAACCAAACACTTCTGTTGACTTCAGCGAAAAGTCGCGAGTTTGCTCTTGCTCTTTTCTTTGGTGCCAGTCGATAGCGAGCAACGACAGAGAAGGGTCAAGGTTTTGTTGTCATCGTTGTGCAAAAAAGAATTGTGTAAAAAGCAACAATGATTAAGTTGTTGCTAACAATGCTGCTGGCAGCTTTGCTGGCGCGGCACACACGGGCCATATCGTGCGGCGGCTGCGTGGATTTGGATGAAATGAACTTTGACAAGACCATCGTGCGCTTTCCCTATGCACTGGTGAAACTCGATATTGCTTTTCCGTATGGCGAGAAGCACGAGGCTTTTGCGGAGTTCTCCAAGGCGGCGCATAAGGTAACGGACGAGTTGCTGGTGGCCACCGTTGGCATCAAAGACTATGGCGAGCTGGAAAACAAGGCGCTGGGCGAACGCTACAAAGTGGACGAAAAACAGTTTCCCGGCATATTTCTCTTTAAAGGCAACCTGGACGACTATATCCAATTTCCTGCCCATCTCGATGTAACGCTAGACAACCTAAAGTCGTTTGTGAGCAGCAACACGGCGCTCTACATTGGTCGCGACGGCTGCCTGAAGCAGTTCAACGATGCGCTCAAGAACTATGCCAACAAGGAAGATGCCGAACAGCTGGCATTGATTCAAGAGATGCAGCCCCAGCTACAGCAGCTGAGCAAGCCCGATGACCAGCAGCATGCCAAGGTGTATCTGCTGTATATGCAAAAAATCAATGAGCATGGCTATGGGTTTGTCGAGGAGGAGACCAAGCGCCTACTGCGCCTCAAGGCCGGCAAAGTGACGGCCACTAAAAAGGTGGAGCTGCAGCACAAGCTTAACATTCTCGAAGCATTTCGTGTGCACAAGCTGACCAAGACGCGTCCGGAGAAAGCCAAAGCGGAGCTTTGAGCCAAAAGAGTTCAACTAGACAATTATTCTGTAAAGCCAACCAAATTTCATACTTTTAAACCATAAATAAATAGGCCCACAATTGTTCATTAAAACCTAAATGTTACCAAAAAATTGTTTGTTATGTTTATTCGTTTGCCATGGCAACAACGACTCCAGCTAAGTGCTTGGGTAAAAAAGGACGTAGGCATAACACAGAGTGGAAGGGAGCGTAAGAAATTTGATTTGGATTTTATTAGAATATTCAACTAGCATAATTGATCTTCTGCAGACTGCCTACATAAGGCAATTATTATTAATAACACCCTAAAAGTATGCTAGGCATTTTTAATATGAATGCGCTTTAAAGTATGCAACAGCTGTTAAGCTGCAGGGGAAATTTTAAAATAAATTCCCTCAATGCAGCAGCCAGAGAGAGAGAGAGAGAGAGAGCGAGTAAGAGAGGGAGAGTGGTTGCGAAATGGGAGTCATACAAAACTGCATGATACAATTAAAAAATATAAAATAATTACAACAAATTATTGTAATTATAAAATATTATTTAAAACTATTGTAATACTAAAACATTAATCAACACATAAGCCTCCACTTGGGAGCTTATTCGATGGCATGCAATATACTGACCCATTGCAATACAAACGAAAAAGCGCCACAAGCTTGTCTGCATGTGTGTGTATGCGTGTGAGCTCCATCTGGCCGCTCTCTTCGCACTCATGTGGCCGATCGCAACAATGGCGAAGGCAAAGTCAAAAGCGCATTATGGCCGCGTTTGCTTGCATTTTTTTCTCAGCTGGTGGATCGGTTGGAGCCGGAGCAGGGGGGAGGCTGACTTCAGTGTGTGTGTGTATGTATGTGTGTTTGCGTTGTTATCGCTCATTTTCACTTTAATATGAGTTTTTGTTGCTGTTGCTTTCTTTGGAGTTTGCTCTTTTGTGCACGCTGCGCTGCTGGGCAGCCATATTTATATTTTTTTTTGTGTTTTTTTATTTTTTGTTGCTGGTCCCCGCAGCGGCAGCGGCAGCAGAGCAAAAGCAAACGCACTAAAGTTGTGTTGTGTTTTCTTTATTCGTATGCGAAAGTCAATGAACTTTTTCGGTGTTGTCTATGCGTTTCAGATGTTTTTATTGTTGTTGTTTTGCGATAAGTGCCCAGGTCGGCATTGGTATTGGTGTATTGAGCATGCTGCAATGACGGACACAAAAACAAAAAATGAATAAAAAATAAATAACAAATGAAGTAAATTACAAATTTCGAAGCTTCACAAATGCTGTTCCGTTTCAGCAACGAGTTAGGTTGAGTGCAGTTTGGGTTTGGGTTTGGGTTTGGGTTTTGGATTGCGGAATGCATGAAAAACGAAAACTCATGGCCAGCTTTCTATTCGTATAGATTTTTTGCGCTTATCGGCCAATTAATCGACGATAAATAAACAGATCCGCAACAATGCAAAAATGTGAGAGGGTATGACAGGAAGATAGCCCGCGGCTTGCCAATCGTTAATTCCTATCTAAACTGAGACCTTTGACCCGCAGCTGGGTCAATTTAGAGTCAGCTAAAAAAAGCGGAAAATTCAATTGGGAAAATTGCCAGACACGCATTCTGCTGGTTTGCCGTGCAATGCTGCGAAAAACGAAAACAAAATATAAATAAAAGAAGGAAAACAATTTTCACACACTCTGAGCAGTCCATGGCACACCTTAAAGGGGCACACGGATCATGCAAATGTTTGCATTTCCACGCAAGTGCAAACCCCAAGATAATCGATCCATCAGTCAGCGAAGCGATCTGTTGAACCCTTTACACAAAGGTTTTCGGGAAATTGAAAGCGGATCGCCCACGCTGGCAGCCAAGCGTATGGAGGAACCCTTCTCCTCATTATCATGTGCATAATCAGAACTTCAATTGCAATGGAAAATCGAATATGGAATGGCGCAGCAGCCGGAATCAACAACAGCAGATCAACGTAATTTGAGAACCGAATTGAGAAATTGTTGATCGCAGTCGACGCTTTTTGGCCAAAGGCAAAGTCATAAGGTTGCGTGTCGCCATCTTCTAGATATTATATCTAAGCAATATTCAGGTAATTTTTCGTGGACTACCTGCTGTGAGATTTACGTTTATGCATTTCAATTTCATTGTTTTGTTCGTTCGTTCGCATTTTGGCCATAAAACAGGTTCGGGCCACAAACTTATCTCGCGCTGCAGATCGCGTCTAGAAGCGAGGCGAGCAAAGAACTCTTCTATTTAGCCCGCCTACTAGTTGACAATCAGAAACACACACACACACACATATATATATATATATATATATAAGTATATATTTGTATCAAATCGGCTTTTGGCGCAGCACTAATCGAAGGGTTTGACGTCGAGGTCAGGTCAAAGCAAATGCATTAAATGTGTAATCCCAGATATGAAATCTGAGCGAGACGTCGTCGTCGTCAGAGTTTGACTTTAGAAAAACATTTTCACGACTCGGCCGAACCTCTGATGATAGTTTTTTATTATTTTTGTTTTTGTTTCTTCTTTTTGTTTTTTTGCGGCTGCTGCAGCCTCTTGGCTTGGGGATCTTGCTGGGACAGGTAGCCGCACATTTTGAAGCGCTTTGCGCATTAAACCCGAATTTTCGGTTCGTTTAAATGCGTTTTTCTTTTTGAAAAATGTTTCATTTTGAGGTTTTTGCTTTCCTCGAACCTTCTCTGATTGCAGTGCTGTGTGCCAGCCGCGCCTCAATCTCGGACACAGCCCCAAATCTAGCTTCAGTCGCTGTCATGGCTTAATTGTCTAGGCCGCGGCGCAAAACTTGCTCCGAGCTGCGGGAGTAGTGCGGGGAGGAGTGCCGTGCGAGGGGGTGGGAGCAGAACAACGTCTTGGTCGATTGGCGTTTTGGGCCGGCCATTTTCTGGGTCCGGTCGCCAACGTCACCGGCCATTGCACCGCATGGGCAGCGTCGAGATGCAGATACCTTTCGGAGTCAATGACTTGTGAGGCATGTTGTTTGGGGTTTTAGCGCCTGGCTTAAGAACGGTTGACAGACTTTTACATAAATGCATATGCACCAGGTCTAGAGCATTGTTAATTAGTTTGGAAACGAAATGCAAAACTGAAACTTGATTTGGTACTCGAGAGCAATCCGATATCACCAGCATCTTTTCTTCTTCAATATCTTGTTGACGGAACGCCTTTGAAGTGAACCCTCTCGAGTGGGAACAGAGGTGCGATTATCTCGGCTACGGTCCAGTTCGGCCCTCATCGCCGTTGCTTGATAATTAATGTCAAATAATTGGCAGAAATTTGTTTGCTATTTAATTGTGGCGCTTTTCACCACTTCCAGTGCCCAGTTGCGCTCTGAGGCCGCGTGCCCCGCGCCCTCCAGTGCGCGGCCCTTTTCAAATACATTTTCACAATTTCTCAATAAATTTTCCTTTATTGACCAAGATGCGGGCGCCCATCTCATTGCTTTTTTCGGCTACATTTCTATGTTATGTATCTACTCGTCGTATTTGAATTGCAATTGCAACATTTTTCGAGCTGCTCATGATGGCAGCTTTATCGCCATCCAAGCGGGTCATTGACTCTGTTTGAGAACACTCTTCGCGCTTACAAATATGTATGTTAGAAATGCAACATCGGGGTCGTATATTCTCTACAACCGCGAATAATTACTGATTTGCATTGCCGGAAGCACAGCCAGAAGCTGTGTGTGGGTGCGCTAGGAGTTTACCAAGATTCAGGCTCTGGCGTAGCTCAGTCTGGCAGTTAGCAGGATCCGAGGACAGCCTGTGGAACCTGCATCTTTACGCTGCATTTCGCTGTCAAGCTGTGCCCGTTGATCGCTATCAAAATCCACACAAATTCTCATTGTACTACACGGGATTCGCGGCGTTCCCACAGTTGCAGGCAACACACAGGACTCCATTGTCTACGCACACATCTATTTTTTATATCAAAATCAAAGATCGACGCTGAATGTGGCAAGCCAAACCCAAAAGTCACATGCGAACAACAATGGCCCGCAACCGATTGCCAGCTTGGCCATGGCCAACAACAAGAACCAGCTAGGAATCGCTTAAGGTTAACACATCGCAAACAATGGCCGCGCAAATGGACTAGCCATATATAGCGTATAGTGCTATGGGGCAGGAGGCAGCAGAGGGGCAAGTGTCGCGGACGCAACGAGGGTAGTTGCAAACCAGTTTCGAATACGAATGCCGCTGGGCAGCCTGTACCTGTCGACCTGACGGCCGCCTGTTGCAATGCTGCTGCTGCTGCTTCGTGCCCTGCCTAATTTGGAGGTAGGGGTAAACACTGCTGATGTCTGATACACGCTGCCTCCTCGAGATGCTGAGTCAGCGACCGAGTGGCAATTCTCTCAATTTTCATCAAAGTGCGCTGCAAGATCGCGCAATGGAAATGGACGTGTGCAGGTGCCGATCACAAGCACAAACAGTCACCGACAGGGCGATACCCTGTACCCAGATCCGAGCAGATAGAACATACAACAAATGGGAATATTCTTGACATGTTACACAATGTCGTATCTCCAGTTGTCAAAGTTTCACTAATGTGCTACACAGGCAAAATCGATAAATATCGAAATCGGAAAATTGAAGGATGACATACAAAATTAAATCAAATATTTCAAGCATAAGTAAATATTATTCATATTATTCTACAAGACAGACATGTTCATATGTCTGTAACATCCCTCCTTTTTAATCATTCTCCATGTTTGCAGGGTATAAGAAGTCACATTCTAGCTCAACGCTAGCAACAATAAGAGGCACAAAGTCAAAGAAGAAAGGGACTTAAAGAAAACAACGTATACACACACACACGCAAACTCATACACACACTAGTGCACATTTTCATTTTCGACTATAAAATTTATTCGCATTAATCGCCGTCAAAGATAAAATTAACGAAAGAATAGACATGGCCAGGGTCAGGGTCAGGGACAGGACGAGGGACGGGACACTTCTAGCCAGGGGTCGGCATGATAAGGCAACATTGACACCTTCAGCTGGAACTCAAATGGGCACGATTCTACCTGCCGATACGCTGTTGGCATTGCGGACAGTGCCAGCGACTATCTAATTGTACAGGGCCAGACGCTCCTCAGACGTGATCTGTATTGTGCCTGTGTGTGTATGTGTGTGTGTGCGAGTGTGTGTATGCCAGCTAAATAGCAACAAATTGGCAGTCTTCTAGGCAGGACTGTACATTACTCAGCGATGCACTTGTCATCGAAAAGATGCCTAAATCCTTGGTGTCTTTCGTTCATATTTTTGGCCTATTTTAAGCGAAAGGTATCCAATGTCCCGGAGGGGAAGGGCTCTTGACAGGGGCGGGGCGGGATTAAAGTGGAGTGAAGCGTATGCGTGTGTAATTAAGTGTCGCAAAAAGACGCAGATAGGAAATGTACTGGGCGCTAACATGTGAAGGTAATCAGAGTCCGATGGGGTCTAAGTGTGTGCGCGCGGGTGTGTGCGTCTGTGTGTATGTAAATAGGAAAAGCATGTTGTTGTGCGCCATGGTCGGCTAACAGGATGGAAGCGCCGTGTCCCATGCCAAGGCTGAGGGTGATAAAAATGTTCATGTAAATTGCAAAAAACAGTTTTTATGTCCCATTGCCGCATTTTGGAGGGGAGGAGAAGAACGAGACGGGCAGGCGGCTGCGTGTGAAGTGGTGCAATATATTAGACAAGGGCGGTTGGAGCTGAATGCTCCTCGCCAGATTGGATGAGGCTGATGCGAAGGCTGAGGCTTTGGCTGAATGTTGAGTGGGTGGATTGTGGGTCGTTGCCGCTTTGAAGTGTCGGCAATGTTGGGCGTAGTTTTGGTTCTATTTATAACGCATCGATGTTTCTGCCCTGTGCCAAATTGATGCTGTCAGTGAAGAGCAGCGAATATTTAACGCGTGCATGCTACACAACACTACCAGCAAAGCGGCTAAAGTTGCGCAACACTACACAGCAAGTATGGCCGTTGCTGTCAAATTATAACGAGAAGCTGTATGAGATATTCGAGCAAATTATCAAATGGGCATAAGCCAATCGGATGTCATAGAATCTGGAAGGATTATTGCGACCTGTAGGCCCTTCGTTCTTATCTTGTCCACAAACTTTCCAGGATTATCATACCATTCGATATGGTAAGTTGTAAATAAGGTACGTATTCTATGCCATTTTCCCATCATAATCGCAGTCTTTCTCTAAGGCACTTTTAATCAAACTGAAGATTCCGAATCGGGTGCAGCCGGATGTGATACCGCCGCCCGACTCAATTGGCATTTACTCAAACAAGATGCACTACATGAAGAAGCATCTGCTCGATGAGCTGAGCACGAAAATGTTCGCTCTCGATTTTATGCAGCCGGTGGACTCGGAGGCTCTACAGGTACCCACATACTACACAATCATCCAGCGTCCCATGGACGTGGGCACCATCATCAAGCGCGTGCAGAATCGATACTATCACAGCGTGGATGAGCTGATAGCCGACTTTAGGCTGGTGATAAGCAATTGTTATACATTTAATCGGCCCGAGGATATGGTCTATCGCAATGGCCAGAAGCTGGAGAAATTTTTCCTTAAGGTGCTGAAGAAACTGCCAGAGGGCCTTGAGGTGGCCTGCAACAGGGATCCCCGAGCAGTGTGCAGTCCGCGCAGCAGCGAAAAAGCCTCCGCATTCACGGAGCGCAAGTGCCGCGAGCAGCTGAAGAAGCTGCAAGGTTCCAACGCAGAGCAGGCCGATGCGGATGCTCGCGACTTCTATAAGGAGAAGCTGAGTGCGGTTTCAAAGAAGCTGAGCAAACATCATTTTAAGACACTCGAAGACTTCCACTCGCATTTGGACGTAACCTTTCTGCAATCGCGAAATCAGGCAAAGAAAATTTTCGAGAATGCATATCACGAGACTCTCGATAGCATATCCCATCACATGCAGAACAAGGAGCTGAGCCAGCTGTTCTATGCCCTACAGAAGGACCAAAACGGTTTGAGGAGAGGCCAACAGCAAGGCAAGCAGTCTAGGTGGGAGGATAATCTAATGGACGAGCTAGATGCTACTGTCGATAGACTTGGCAGTAAGCTGGACTCGTGTCGCCTGGACGATGAGGAGGAGGAGGCGGATGAGGATGAGGAGCAAGAATATATGAAGGAGGAACAACTGATAACTGCAGAAGGGGAAGAGGAACGCACCAGCAACAGTCAGGGCCATAAGCTTAGCTCGTATATGAACGGATGTGGAGCCAATTTACCTAACGCCAAGGACACAAACGAGCCGATGGACTGCGTCAGCGAGGTGGAACGTCGGGCCATTCAGCAACAGTTCGTAATGTTGCCGCTGAACTCAAAAATCGAGATAATGCACATTATTGCGCAAACCGAGGACATATCCACGGACAACTGTGACCTGCAGTGGTTCGACATCAAAAACTTTGGCGCCGAGACTTTAAATCTCATGAAAAAGGCCATGCATCCGCACACCAAGCTCAATTTGCGCAACATGAAGCCCGACGAGAAGGAGGACCTGCAGCGCAGCCTCGAAATGCGACTGCAGAATATAAACCAAGCGCTCAACGGCAACCGTCGCAAGTACACGCATAGAATGCGTATTCGCACCGCCATGCCGGCCAAGAAGAGGCCGCGCTTCTCGGCCCCGAGCACGTCGAAGAAGAATTCCAGCGGCGCCTCCAGCTTACAGCAGCAGCAGCAGCAGCGACAGCTGCAGTCAGGTGTTGGCTCCTCCAAATCTGGACTGGGCAGGCAATTGCAATCGCAGGATAGCAGTAGCGAAAGCGATTCTAGCAGCAACAGCGATTCCAGCAGCAATAGCGACTCCAGCGACAGCAGCGACTCCTCCAGCGACAGCGGCGAGGAGGCCAAAAAAAGAGGCTCATCATAAGAAAAATGTACACATTTGCATTCGAATTAAAATAAACTGCCTGAGAATCTCGAATCTGGAATCTGAAATCTGCGCATCTCTGCTGTCTATACAGCGATCACGTAGTCGGGCGAATTTTCACGAAAAATTATGCAAATGCCTGAGAGTTTCTCACGATCGGCAAAACGATGCCGAGACTCTACCTGACACCGTAGACTTGCCTAGGAAATTGGAGCGACAAAGATCATTTCGATCTCTGTCGTTGGTTTTCCATTGAAAATTTGCATAATTTTTGGTAAACAGCACAGTTTTTCACTTGGCGAAAAGGGTTGGCAAGCGAAGATCCTAATTTGCATAAGGTGCCTGGGCTTGCGAAATGGGCAAATAGTGCGCTAAACGCAAAACGAAAGTGAAAATAGGAAAATGTGAAAAGGAAACGAGCCAGGCCAGGCCAGGTCAGAGACAGGCTCAACGCTCAAGGCTTAGACACTAGACAATCGCCCAACAGGGGTTAATTATGCGCACAGTGGACGGCGCCAGACCGGATCTCACAGCATGCCGGCACGCTCGCACACCCAGCTCCTGGCAGGGGGTTGAACAGGGACAACAACAGCGCTAATTTGCATAACATCGTAAAGGAATTGGAAATAGAAATAGAAATAGAAACAGGACTGACTGTGCCTGCAATCTATTTCCTTGTTATTTGGCCAGGCAAAATTATGTAAATTATGCGTGCAAAAACATTGAGAAAACTTTCTCACGCTCAACTCCTTAGCCTTGGCTGGGTCTTGCTCACTTTGTGTTTTCCAAATTTTGCGGGTTGCAGCGTTCACTCTTCTGTTTGGGTTAAGGCGCACCGGGCAACAAATCAATTTTGATCGATATTCATTTAGCTCTCGATTGATTTGCTCAATTTGCATATTTTGTACCTTCTTTGAGCTAAGCAAAGGCGAAAAGTATGCAAATTATCTGGGCATTCGGCTGTGTGTTTTTGATGTCTGCGAAAGTAACGTAGATGTTTGTTTGACATAAGAAAATGAATCTACTATTTGATTCGATCTACTTTTCATTTTGATCAAGAAAAGCCCCAATTGATGCTCTTTTTGAGCTGGTCTCGTGCAATTTTTCGCCATTTGCCGTTTAAAAATTGCAAAAAGCAATTCACATTCGCTTTGCACGGCTTTGCACGGCTCCTCCCATCATTGCTTGCCACCACCACCAGGTTTCTGGGGTGTCTGTTGCAACCCCAAGCAAGACCCAGTCGGAAAGTTGCAAAATCGCCAATGCCGTTTGCCAAAATGCGATCGAACCGTCATCATTGCAATAAAATTGCAAATGCCAGCCAATGCGCGTCGCAAACAGAAACACTAACACAAACAGGAACAGGAACAGGAATAGGAACAGACTTGGCACTTGGCTGAGGTGAGCAACCACCGTTGAACTAGAACCCAGCCCAGCTACCACCCGGGCGAATTGAAAGTATGAACTTTGATGTTGCCTCTGTTTGGGCAAAACCATAAAAAAATCCGCAAAACGAGGGTTGTGTCTCGTAAAGTACTTATCGAAACACCCCAAGCACACTCTCTCTCCTGCCTAGCTCTACGCACTCTGCCAACACACATTATTACGCATAAATGTGGAGTGCGTTGCGTGTGGCATGCACACACACACGCACACACAGACACACCCGCAGACGTTTCTCTGTATCTGCTTATTTTGCAGCGACAACATGCAAATTTTTTTCATTCTACCCCTGCCCTCTGCCCGCCCTGTCCAGGGGTTGAAGCCAAAGCTTAGCTGCAACAGAGGCCTTAGAAGTAGAAGTCGTAGCAACTGCCACCACCCCCGGGTCTGCATTCCGCGCCTTTTTTTGTGGCATAGACTGCGATTGCTCTTGTTGTTTTTTTTTTTTGCGCTGTTTTTGCTTAAGAATCGAAAGTTCTTAGGGTTTATTTTGGTTATCATGCTCCTTATCACTGCCACAACTTCAGGAAAATATAGTCATACACAAGTATTTTTATAAAAAGCGACAGAGAAGGGCTATCTCCGGCATGTCGAAGATGTAATACTCTGCAGACCGAACCTAAGAAGCACAGAGAAAAACAAGACGCTTTTCACACAAGAAACTCATTTTCGATCGATCTATATGATATAGTGGTCCGATCCAGCCTGCGCCAACATATGTACATATGTACTGTGTGCCACAGAAAGAGGGACGTATGCAAAGTTTCATGACAATAGCTTTAAACCTGAGAGACTCGTTCGCAGGAAACAGACATATGGATAGACGGACAGGGCTCTATCGACTGATCAAAAATATATATATTTTATAGGGTCGAAGCTGTCTCCTTTCATGCGTTACGCATTGCAAGACAAAATTATAATACCCTCTGCAAGCGTATTAAAATAAGTATCTTCAGGGTGCCGAATATTAGGTATGCTTGAAAACTTATAATAGACGTCAAGTTTCATCACGAAAGCTTTAAGCCTGAGAAACTGGTTGGCATAGAAATTCGAGTATGACTGATCTATATAGATACCTTACAAGTCTTGTGCAAGGGTACACAAAATATTGGACAAGAACTCGCGTGAAAACCTAAAGGACAAACATTCGATGTTAAAAAAGAAAACGAGTGTCATATTTGGCATAAATTAAACGCCATAGTTGGCGACCCGTACACCCGTATGCACCAGCCATCTCAAATAAGGGCGACGGAGAGCTGACGGGGGCGACGACGAGGGATAGGTTACGGTTTGGGTTTTTTAAGCGACAAAAAAGAAAAAGAAGGAAAACGCGCACTCGTCATGCTTCACACGCGCAAGGATCTCGAAAAGTATCCAATTACAATAGATAGCTGGCAGTTTTGACTTGAAATATGTTTGAATTGTCGCATTTCTGTGTGCTATTCTTTCCCATTTCCATCCCCATTCCCATTCCGAGTCTCATTCTCACTCTCCCTCAGCCGCATAGATCCTTTGTCTTGGCGTGGAGCGTGTACGTGTGTCAGACGTTTGCGCTCTTCTCTATTGTTTTGTGACTCGGCTTTTATGTCCTTGCGTCTTCAGACGATTGACGAGCGCGTTTCACTTTCGTTTGGACATCCTTTATTTGCAGGATTGCTTTATGCTGGACGTGTGGCAGTCTGCAGTTCCCTGCAGCTCCGTGGGCATTGTTGTGACTTGTTGACCTTTGTGGGTATATTAGGCGCAGCCAATAAGGCATTATGAGTACTGGCAATTATGCAATCGTTATTTCATTTGAATGCCCCTCACACATCTTGGCGACGTGCCACACAAGCATTAGCAGCAGCACAAACTTCAGTTTATGTTGACGTAGGGCCGCCATCGCGTCACATGAGGCAGAGGCATGGAGCAAAAGCAGCCGCAACGCATACAACACATAATCACACACACACACACACACACACACATGAATATATGATATTTTGTTGAGTTGCGCAGATTACGTTCAACATATAAACTTAATACAATTATTAACATAACAAATATTTAGTAGCTAAAAGACAACCAAATAGAATGCATCATAAACAGCTGAACTAGTTGACGGCCGAAAAAGAACGAATTGAATCATATTTCCAAACTCTACTTTGTTTATTTAGATGAAGAAATAAGTCATATGCTGTTAGATAAAAACATAAAAATAATTAACAGCTAAAAACCAACTGAATCATGCATCATGCTGAACTAGTTCACGACCAAAAAATAACCAATTGAACCATATTTCCTAACTCCACTTTGTTTAGTTCAAGAAATAAGTCATATTTTGTTACGGTAATTAACATCAAAAATAATAAGCAGCTAAAAACAACTGAATAGAATGCATCATCAATAGCTGAACTAGTTCACGACTAAAAAGGAACGAATTGAACTTGAATTCCCGACTCTATTTTGCTTGCCTTTTTTCCAATTGCCCTTTGGCATGCGCAGCTCCAACTCAAAAATGGCGTCGCTGATCAAGTCAAACGGGCAGCGCTGCGCCCACGTCCCAAGCTGGCGCAATAGCTGCTCTCTCTCTCTCTCTCTCTCTCTCTCTCTCTCTGCTCGCTCTCAGTAGCGCTCGCTCTCAACATTGGCATTTTCTTTTGCTTTTACACAATTTGTTTTCGTTCTTCGTTTTGTTGACATACCCAAAAATGTACTATCTTTGTTGCTTTTGCTTTTGCTGCTGCCGTTGCTGTTGTTTTTGTTGTTTGCTTGATTGGCGGCCCTGTCTGGTTTCTTCGTCTTCGTCGTCGCTTGCACCAGTGTGCGTGTGCGTATGCGTATGCGTATGCGTGTGTGTGCCTGTGTAAAATTGTGTATGTATGCAGGCCAGTGCACATTGCACTCGAATCGCCGTTTTCGCCGTCAGCATACGCTGCCGCTGCTGTAGTCAATTGCGTGGTTAATGCTAATTATTTGTTATTCTACAGTCGCAGCGCTGTTTCTGTTGCCGTATTCCCAAAAAAAAAAAAAACAAGAAAAAGTAAATAAAAATAAACAGACAAATACAATTGGGAAGACACGCACAAGAGACCGAAACGTGCAATTGCTGGCGATTTCCGGCTGCAACAGCGCAACAGATAGCACTTAGAGAGGGACTGTACCACAATAATACACCTACATACATACATGCATACACACAGATTCCTTAAGCGTATTTATAAGTTACGATCATAAATGCAAAATAAACACATTTCTTACCAATATGCACGACAAAAACAACTCCAGCCACAGGCAATTTACATTCTCGTTGGTATTCCTCTTACAAATGTATAACTATACTAAATAATTCAACATTTTACTTTTCTCATCAAGTTTAAGCAATTTTCAATAATTTAAGCACACGTGACGCGCAAACGCAGCTCGTTTAATAAGCGGACTGTGGCGAAAAGAACAAGCGAAAGAGCAAGCGAAGAAAAGTGCAAACTAAGATCCTTTGCTTTTTGGGCGGCGACTACGCTTTGCAATTAAAGAGAGCGAAAATCGTAAAAGAGCGAATACAATTGAATGCGTTTCTTTTGTGTTGGCAATATTTAATTGCTTCGTTATCTTGTTTTGCATTA